AAATATCATAGACTGGCTTACATTTCTTTTCTCTGTATGTACTGGCCTAGGATTTTGTTGCAATACTTTCCATTGCTTTGTCCTGCCCATGTACTAACTAATTTCCATCTTACCCCTACATTTACCTTGTGTTGCAAATACCTTTAAAAAGTAGAAGTGACACTCTTGTTTGGAAATTTCTTAAAGGTATAGGTTGTTGTGTAAAAAATCATGATAAAGGAGCAGGATGACACATCGGTTCCCATTTGTGGGGCATAATTACTTGGTGGCAGTGAGTATTATTATATGGGCAAAGGGGGTGATGTAATAAAGCTAATTAGCTTTTCTGAGAAGGCAATCAATGTACAAAAATGAGCTAAACCATAACTTAGGAGGACACCTAAAATAGGCCCACTGGCCTTTTGAAAAGTTCAGAGTAGCCAATGGAAAGAAAACCAAATAATAGTAATATAGGCTACATTTCATTAGAAAATTATTTCATATAAACCACTAACATTCCAGAGTTTGGTTAATTTAAATTTGAGGGAAACATGACTCTGGCTTCTTTTATTTGTGTGCTTAGAGTACGATTTCCGTCCTATCATTGGAAAGGACTCTAAATCACTCTGTGCAGGCCTTCCCGCTGACCGTAAACACTGTCCTCACTCCTCCAAGTACATTATACTAAGATAACAAGCTACCGTCCCTATGGGGATGTAAACTTGTCTATTCCTTAAGTATAAAAAGGAGTCTTATTAGTGCAGCGGTTGAAGAGACCACCGACAACTTCATGGGAGAAAAATGTGGCAATATGATTCTGTAAAAATTTACAACCTTAAAACCCCCGTGGATGAGTTTCAGTCTGTCTGCCCCGGTCCATTAGAGATAAAGACAGCGAGGTTGCTGCTGCTGTCATCGAGTCGCGCTGACTCTGAGTGACCCACTGGACTGCAGAATGACACCCGGGCCAGTTCTGCCCCATCCTCACAATTGTTTTTATGTTTGAACCCACTGTGTCAGCCAATGTGTTCCCCCTCTTGTCCAGAGCCTTCCTCTTTGACACTGCCCCTCTTCCAAGTGTGATATCCTTCTCCAGGGATTAATTTCTCCTGATTACATGTCGAAAGCCTCTGAGACAAAGTCTTGCCGTCCTTACCGCTACGGTACATTCGAGCTGTATTTCCTGCAAGACAGATTTGTCTGTTCTTTTGGCAGTCCACGGTACTTTCAATATTCTTCTCCAGCACCGTAATTCAAATGCATCAAGTTGTGTTTGGTCTTCCTTATTGAATGTACAACTTTCACGTGCACATGAGGCAACTGAAAATTCTCCATATAATCTATCTATCCCTTTAGTCTTCATGAAGTACATTCTTTATATGTGTGTGATTTTTAATACGGACCGAGTTTCAACATCTTTCATTTAGAGTGTACTTAAAGGTACCCGTCGTTTTTTGAGGCAGAGGCACTTGAACATACTTGCAATTATTGGTCTATTGGTGATCATTTTCATCATGCATATAAAAAACTTCAAAACAAACTCACTGCTATAGAGCCGATGCTGACTTGTAACGACCCTACAACGAGTGTAGAACTGCCCCTGTGAGTTTCCAAACTGTAACTCTTTGGGGGGTGGGGGTGGGGTTGAAAGCACTGTCTTCCTCCTGAGGATCTCAGTCCGAAGTGTGACCACTCTGACCCCAGGGTTCCTCCCATCATACATAATCAATCTGATCATTTAAGCTATCTTGACAAGTTGTGATCCTCTCATGTGGTTAGGAGGATTTGAGGACTAAAAGAGATAGATGATGTACAGAACATTGCAGAGTGCCAAGCACTTAGAAAACACTGTGCAAATGTTAGCTCTTATTTCTTGTGTTGCTATCTCTGCCCTAGATTGAAAATGAATTTGAAATAAACTATAAACATTCTGTTAACAGATGCACTTATATTCTTGAGTGCACCCAACCTTTACACATACATACATTCACCCCAAAGGATCCCTGGTGGTGCTGTTTCTGCTAATTGTTGGCCTGCTTGCTAACCCAAAAATTGATGGTTCAAATCCACCAAATGCTCCATTGGTGAGAGAAGAGGCTATTTACAGTCTTGGAGACCCTGTCTAGCATCATTATGAGTTAGAATTGACTTGGTAGCGGGTGAGTGGGCAAAAAGCACTCCACCTTGTAGAATCTGGTTGACCAAATGAAACAACTCTTTAGAAACTAATAATTTCCAACCTTAGATTATCTTTGGAACTTAGGTGAAGACAATGGAAGGCAGATAGGCAGGTTTGATTTTTCCTTAGGTTATTTTGGATCTAGCATAAATCTAGCAGGAGGTTTTTAAAGGGCATATCTGTGGTCATCTGGAATCTGGAGCTGAGATTATGGGGAATAAGCCTGGCTTTTAGTAGCTGTGGGAATTTTGGATATCATTCTCCTGTTCCAGTCCATATTTTAAAATAATAGCAAATTATCTGTATCTCATGCTGTACCCCTGAGGATTATGTGAGAAATAGTAGATGGAAATATTTTTCATAAACTGCAAGTTCCCAAATAAATGCAATTTCTCTTTCAATCTCAGTGCAGAGCAACCTCATTTTTAATTATTGAGCTCCTGCAGCTCCCTTGTGCATCTCATTCCGAGTAGAGTTAGGGGCAGACAGCCAGGACAACACCGCCCCAATGAGGGCTCTGAACGGCTTTCACAGTGACTTGTGGGAAAAGACCACATAGAAAGGGTGGAAGATGCTTCTTGTCATTGCAGAGAACTGCAGACAAAGAAATGAATGCTCTTATTGGGTAGTTAAAGTTCAAAACCAGAGAGAACTTCTTGAACAACCTAACTGACAATTTCTGGGGTTTTCTGTACAGATGGCAACAAGAAATTGTTGGTTTTGTCAACCTGGCTGGATTATTTCAAGAAAATGGATAACTTCAAAGAAATACCTAGGATTTTCACACAATGTAATCATATATTCAACTGGAAAATTGGGGTAAGATGGAAAGCTAAAGAGAACTTATTTCCCATGTGACTGCCATTTTTAGTGACTGAATTGTTCGTCTTGCTGCATTTTCATATTAGTAAAGTCATAGTTTAGTCTTTTGAATAAGTACAGAAAAATATTTCATAAACACCTTTGGTTTCATACAACATGTTTTGGTTCCATTATGAGTTTCCTGGTAAAATATATGTTTTTGAACCAGAGAAAGGAATTGAACCTTGTTCTCCATTTTCTGTTAATGACTTTAATAAAACATGACACATTGGGAAAAAACCCCAACATGACACATTGAAAGAAATGTCCTGGAAGTGATAGCATTTAGAACACTTACACACACACATGGACTTACCTGTAAATTTTGGGCTCTGCTAATCATGTAATGCTTTCCAAAGAAAACAGTGCTCCATTCATAATCACTGGTTAGTTATATCCAAGCCAATATCCTTGCACCTTATTGGCGTATATTTTTGTCTAAATATGTTTTTCTGACAATCTGTGGGACATCAGAAAAATTAGAATTTTGCTTGACTCTGAAGACGGAGACACCATGTGTAAGGGGATTTGGGGGGTGGTGCTATAAGTAAATAAATAAACATAGAGAACAACTGCGACCAAATTTTAGTGGCTGACTCAAAAAGGGAAGAAGAGAAAATGGGAGAGTAGAAGAGTGGATTGTTAAAGGAGGAAACAGAGAAGATTGTAATGCTCCTCGGAGGAGAAATGTGAGTCCTTAAGTGGTTTGTGGATAAAGGAGAAGAAATGATGGAAGAGAGAAAGAATAAAGGAAGGAAGAGTTGCTTGACTTGCTGGGTGTTTGGAGAATTACAGGCTGATCCCC